TCTGTATTTTAAGGGTATCTGCAGTATGATGCTGCAGGTATCTCAGCTGCACGCTACTTCAGCCGTGCATTAAGAACTACAACAACTGCACAGCAATGCCTTCTGCCAAGCTTTCAAACTGAAAAGAACTGATGTATCATCCACAAGAGAAAGGTAAGCAACCACAGAGTATGATGTACACACTAATGACTTGCCAAGGATAACAACCATGGTTAAGGGAAAAGCCATCAGCACACGAATCTTTACATGTTAATCCTGACACAGCTTTGTATTACTTCAGGTAAAGCGATGTTCCATCATGCTTTATGATAACATTATATTCTTTAATATAAGATAGTAACAAAGAGCACAGGAAAAAAGCCAATAATCAAATGTACCAGGAGCCCTCGGGTCTGGAATGCACTCAAGATTAATGTTTCACATGAAACACTGCTCCACTTAAAGCAATCTCTCCTGTACCACCTATAGTTCTGTAGTGTAAGTACTACACTGAAGCAATTAGCCTATGCCATGCCTGGAGACACTGTGATAACCATTTTTACTCACCTACTTAACTAGATTAAGTATTAGATTGGCCATAAGCATAGTTTCTCGGGCAGTTTTTAATTTGAAGTGTTATCACTAACATCAAATTTCCCAGCATCTGGTTTTGCTGGGTGGCTGTTGATGATACAGAAGGTAACACTGGATGTGCAACTTGATAGTAGGTGCTCTAAGAGGTTTGAATTGGTGCTTTGTACATTTCTCACAGCTGCAGCGTGGAGGCATTGGTGCATAAATAAACCCAGCACCACGCTGGCCGTGTGTCTTTGTCTAGGCCATGTGGATTTAGGCATCAGACCAAACCCACAGCCCCCCTGCTTTCTATCAAACAGTTGGACGATGCCACAAAGATCCCCATGCAATCACATGGCTTGTTAGGCTTTTCCAGCCTGGAGAGGTCAGATTTCGAGACTGGCAAATGCTGCAGCAGTGAGCATTCTGGTCAGCAAGGTGTGCTGTGCATTCCATGCATTTTCAAGGCTGTGCTTCCAGAAAGCATTTGGCAAAGGTGATTGATTTTGAGAGTTCAAAACCAAGCAGCACCATCCAGAGAAGCAGAAAATGGAAGGAACAGAGAAGCGGTACAGCAAAACTGGCATAAGTCAGGTTTAATTATTCAAATAGAAGATAATCCAGTGGCTGCAGCAGCATTATGAACAGGCAGCCTTTGCTTTATTAGTAAATAGCAAAAGCATTTAGGTAGTGTAAACTGCTGCTTCAAGTTACCTCCATGGTTCAGAGTGAGACTTCATCTGAGGAAACTACCCTTGGCACCAACGTCAATCTTTTTTGAGAGGCAAAATTATTAATGAGATCATGAGAACACGTTGTTATTAACTACAATTTACATGAAGGCAAAGCCTGCCATCTGTTCATTTAGAACTAGAAGTTCTGGGTTTCAGAAATGCTTGACTAATTATGAACTTACTTCTTGAGAATAGCTTTCCCCATGGATTTTTCTAGTTCATTTCCTCATCATTAATAATTAGCTCAATTCCACAATAAGTATGCTTGATTAACTGAGCAGAAAGCAATAGAAGCATCTGAGAGTATAAAGCATACCTGCATTTCAAGCAGAAAACTGAGCAAGAACTACAAGAACGATTTAAGATTTTATAACCTGACAGGAAGCAACATTTCCAGAAATACACAGACAATACTGGAAGGAAAGACTCCTCACTGCAGGCTGACAATGCAGATGCACCACGACAGCACACTCAATAAATTGCATTGTAGCACCAGCTAGTGGTAAGAATCAATGAAGGCATAGAGAGGAAAAGTAACAAATGCGTTTGAAACAAAAAGCTTCAGATTGCATGTAGCCTCCTATCCGAACTTTTTCCTCACCTTTCAAATACTTTCAAAACAAAAGAAGTTCCACATGAGTTTCACTGAGCACGCCTACACCATCCGAAAAGCACTTTCAGTGTCCTTGATGCAGCTGCTGGAAGTTAGAAGTGCTATGAGCAACAGCCAAGCACTTTTGCCACACTTAGAGCTACTTCATCCTCAGAGCCAGCCTCTCACTGACAAACGGTACTTAGCCAGAACAAAAGCTAAATACTACTGTTGTGCTTTCTCTTCCATGGAGCATCACAGCATTCTCTCTCAGCATAAACTTACTGAACCAAGAAATAGCTCAGTGATTAATTCAGCTCTGAAACTCACGATCATTCATTTTCTGGACCCAATCCTACAGTATAGGAATTAGTTTACAGAGACCGTTGCAAAAAAAATGAATCTATTTGCAATGGATACCATAAAATGTCAGCTGATACTCTAAATTCAATTGGATTTTATCTTTATCTCTGTGTTACTATTGGTATAATTTACACAGAATAGCAATACTATGTTAAGAATACAAAAACTAAATGTTCCATACTTCAGATGGCTTGAGATTTGTAGGCTTCTCTGATCACCACAAAACGTAAATGGAAGTGCAGGTGCTCCAGAACACCACCAGGTGGAATATATTCTCAAAGTAAGGTGAAAATAAAGATAACTTTCTTGTACACTGGTAGCCAGACCTAAGTTTCAAGGAGAAGCGACCGCATCAACAGCAACAATCAAAACCTCCAAACACAGCAAACTGAGCAGCCTGCATGGCAGTGAACAGGGCACAAGGAACCAACACCAGCACTGACCATGACACAACAGGACAGCCAGGCTGCTCCTGCTCCCTGAGGTTGAATGAGGTCTGGAAAATAATAGCAGTGCAGAGCCACTGATGGGCCCCAATGGGTGAAGAATACAAGAAATTGATGGAGTTATAGAATTAAAGGCTGATAGACTGAGCTCTTTTCACCATAAAAAGAACCTACCTCCTTAATGCGGCCTATCTTTTAATCTCACTGGTTTTGGATACCTTGAAAACAAGATCTGATTAGGTTACTGAAGCATTTATCATTCACAGAGGTATGATGCAGTAAGCTCTGTAGAGACATTCATAATTTAAACAAGCAGCTTGAGAGCCACAGGATTTATACATGGAAGACTGCTACATCAAGAGCCAGCTGCTGAAATATTTATAAATGTGAATTTCTAATGTGTAATGACTTCCAACCAGTAATATTTTAGCTTTTGCTACAGATTAATACTGTTTTGCTACAGATTTTACATACTTTACAGTTAGAAGCTATGTATTCAGTGCATCACACTAGTACGGTAAAGTGTGATTTGGAACTTCAATAATCAACAAGAATACAGGAGAAAGCACACTTGGCTATGGGATTTTGGGTGTCACTATCTTAGAATCTTTCAGAATATACTATAAAGTTCAGAGGTATTTTGGTCAAAGAATGCAGGCCTAAATATACAGAACCTAGCTGAGTGACAGTTAGTTGAATAACAGCAAGAGCCTATTCACACTTGAGCAAAGCACAGCTGCTTAGAGGAACAGCGATAGGATATGCCAAAAATACAGCCTGAGAAACTACCAGTGAGGCCCCAAAGGAAAACAACTGGAATCCCTGTAGTTCAAGACATGCCATACTGAGCTGACAAATCATACATTATGTATCAAGTTTCTGCAAATCTTCAAGCCTACTTTTGTTTGGTTGAGAGTTCTTGTGACAGCTAAAGAGATTGGTGTTATTATTAGAGCTCAATAACCAAGGCTAAAATACTTCAAGCAGTTTCAAAAGCAAAGTCTGCATTTGCAGGAGATTTGCTATCACACAGTTATTATCTGAGGATGCCCTCATAGACACCTCAAGCATTTGAAACAGGCGCTGTTATATTTGCAACATGACTTATTTGCATCCTTCACGTGTTGATTTGTTCTATTCTGCACAGAACAAGTTCTAATTTCACCAGTGCAGTACCTGAGAACCTACTGTCACAGCCACATAACTGGCATTCACCACTCACATTCTCATACTAAGCCCAGTGAGCCCCATGGCTGGCTTGGTGTCTGTCATACGCATTTGTTACTTATTCATTACTGAGATGCAAATGCCAGATTGCAGACAGGCTGCAGGAAACATCTGAGTACTGAATGAGGCACCAAATTCCTTTTTCAGTCACAGTCTGAAGGAAAAACTACTACTGGTCACATCCATTGGATTATTTTAACAGTTCAGATCCACGAGAAAGCTTAAAGATGCCTTCAGTTATTTATTTTGAAGAAAACACCAAGATACAGCCATGGAAAAAATGCCTCAAAAGCATTACTGGACACACAGTTATTCCTGAACACAACACAGATGCATTCTTGCATCAGAAAAGCAGGTTTAAGAGTTTCCCCCAGTCAGTGTATGGAAGTGTGACTAACCAAGGTTCATACTGGCCCTCCAGAAGCTGCTCTCTCCTTTCATATATTGGCACAGGACCCCCCGTGCCTTTTCTCAGTTGACCAGAAAGTGACTTGGCTCTGCTCAGCCAGCTGAGGTCTCAGATTTGCCCAAGCAGCACTTGGACAAAAACAACTTTTTGTCAGCTCAGTCCTCAACACATCTTTTTTACTGACTGAAGGAGCTAATGAAGTCCAGCTTACCTCCTTCAACACCAAGGTACAAAATAAACAACTTGGGTATCAACACTCAGAATATGCAATTAAGGAAAAGAAAAGCATTCAGCAAAGACCATCTCTTAAGCCTTTACACCATCATGCAACTTAAAACCTCATTTTCAACGTGAATCAATGAAGACCTCAGCCCAAATCCCAGATCTAGCTTCCCTGATCTCCGAATTCCAGTAAGTCAGAACTCAGCAGACAGCTTTACAACTATTTGTTTTCCCCCAGTAGAGTGCTACCTTAGTGTGAGAGAGCTCCAACCTCTCTGCTTTGAAGGGTTTAAATTCTACACCTATCATTCTTTTTATTTTCCAGTAATACATTTTTAACAAATTCACACAGGCTCAGTACAACGTTTTGGAATGCTCTAATAGAACTCTAGAAGACAGAAATGCTTTACCTTTTTCTTCTCACATTCCTTCCACACTTCTTCATTTCTTCATATTTCTTCTGTCCCCCTGAATTTTGGAAAGAAAGGGCATGTGTAATTCAAACAGATATGGAGTTGTGAATCTCCAGCAGCCAAAAGGAATTGTTTTCTACTCTGTGGATCTTGTCTTACAAAAGCAAACTCATCTTTCCTTAAAATAACTGTAAGCAAGAATCTCTTAGTTAATAAATTAAATAATGCAAATCAGTCATCAAGCCTATCATGTCTTAGCATAATTAGTGGAGCTCTTCAGCTGATAAGGCTTTTTTTTTTTTAAAAAAAACTTACCCATAACAGTGATCATCATTTAAGTTTTTAACAGACCTAAGGTACTTTTAGCTTCTCTTATTATTCCAACTCTTTATTTTAAGGCAAATAGCAACATAAAACTTCTAAGAATATTAAGAAGCTTAAAAAAAACCAACTGATTTTGTTACCACAAAGGTATGACCTTTAATCAGCTGCAGTTACAAGCTCAAGAAGTAAGCAGCTAGAATAATACTACCTTGTTTCCATGCGGTTTAGAGCTTCAGCTTTTGACGAGTTCTTTCTTCATCTACAACACAGAGCACAACAAACAAACAGTTAATAAAACAAGAAGCACTAAAAATAACATTGAATTGAGGGGCTTTAATAAAGAATTATACATCTATAATTGGACGTAGATGATCTTTGAGCTCCCTTCCAACCCAAGCCATCCCTCAATTCTATAACAAATTCCAGGCTGTTCCAGCATTACACTGCCAGGCAATGAGAAGTAAAACACCAGTTTTGAGTAGAAACAACTGACAGTTTTAAAGACAATCCATTAGAACGCTGCTCAAGAATAAGCATTAAATAATAATGTACACTGAAATAAAAAGCTTCATAAAATCTCCAACTAAGCCAAACATAAAACAGACCTATCTTAGCTATACTGTATTCTTACCCTATTACTAGAGAAAGCCAAGCAAACCCTTTTCCTTGCCTAGAGAAGTAATGCTAGTACTCAACAGAAAAGCTTTGCTTCTTTCAGCTTAAAAAAGCGTAACTACTTGAGTAATGAATTAGAAATTCAAAACAAATTAAACTCTATGAAAATGATAAAGATAGGAGTGTTTTGTAGCTAGTGCTATAAGCGTACGGGTTGGCTTGCTGGTATCTGCGCTGCCCAGTTTACAGTCTCAGTGTTTCTAGAATACAGAAAAAGAAGTTAAAAAGACCTAAGAAAATGATAAACCACTTTATTTTCTAAATGGGATTCTTGGAGCTTGGGTTCTTCTTGGAACTTTTTCTAGTGTTGTAAATAGGTTAAGTGTTTTGTGTTGTTTTTTTTTTTATTTAATGTAAGGAAGAAGTTTTTTACACTAGGGGCACTGAGGCACTGCACAGGCTGCCCAGAGAAGTGGTGCAGACACCCAAGGTCAGGCTGGAGGGGCTCTGAGCACTGATGGAGCTGTGGGTGTCCCTGATCACTGCAATGCAATTGGACCTGATGGCCCGAGAGTCCCTTCCAACTCAAACCATTCTATGACTGTAGGATCTTAAGAATAGCTTGATTTGTATTAAAGTTATTGATGATAGTTTTGAAAAAACTTATCCTCAGTATTTGTGGAGTTAGAAAGGTGTGTACTATGGGTAGTGCGTGAAGGAAGATCACTGCACCCTGTGACTTCCAGCCTGCTGCCTGTTGATGGATTTGCACACTACAACAGAGGCATTAAAACTCTGACTTTGCGGTCAACATCCTCCTTGCACTTGAAAACTCATTTTTGCAGCTATCCTTGTTGGAAACGCAGTGGGTTACACTCATAGGATCATCAAAGTTGGAAAAGACATCCAAGATCCCCAAGTCCAACCACAACCCACCCCCACCATGCCCACATCCCTCAGTGCCACATCTCCACACTGAACACCTCCAAGGACGGCGTCTTCACCAGCTCTCTGAGCAGCTGTGCCAGCACATCACTGCTCTTTCTGACAAGAAATCATTCCTACAATCCAACCTGCACCTTGAGGCCATCGCCTCTCCTCCTATCGCTGCCAGCCAGGAGCAGAGGCCAACCCTGCCTCATCACAGCCTTCCTTCAGGAGTTGTACGGAGCGATGATGTCTGCCCTGCAGCTCCTGTTCTGCACACCGACCATCCTTGCTCCCTCAGCAGGCTGTCAGAAAGCACCAGCTAGACAAGAAAGGCTCAGCAGGGATCTTGTCTACTCGTGGAGGAAGCTCCCTGCTGCCGTGGCACCACAGCTTCTCTGCGCATCCACATCATTAACATTTCTCCTTGATGGACTCGTGCAACGAGCGCGACATCGAAATAATCAATGGAACACAAAGTAATCCCTATATTCAATCTCCTACATTAGCTTAATGACTCCATCCTGCTGCTAGAATTCCTCATTCCTCGCTCTTTTCTTTTTTCTTTTCTTATTTCCACACAATAAATAGCAAACTCTTACCACAAAGGACAGAAAACCCCACAATAGGGCAAGAGAACCCGCTCTCCTCCACAGCTCATTGTCTGGGGATGAGGGCGGATGCCGGAGGCCGCGGCGAGGAGGACGGCAGGCTGCGGCAGACGGGACGAGCCGAGGCGCTCTCTGGTAAACATGGGGACGAAGCGGGGAGCCGGGGGGCAGCGGGGGCGGCCCCGCTCCGGAGGGGGTCCCGCTACGGGGGGCACTGCCCGCTGGCCTCCCCCCAACGTCACTTCCGAGGCTGGAGACAAAATGGCGTCCGGACGGTACCGGAGCTGAGGCCGTTCCGCGCCTTTTTGAGCCGGGCCGCGGATAGAGGAGAAAGAGGAGGACAACGAGGAGGCGGCGGTAGCCTCGCAGGTGAGAGGGAGGCGGCCCCGCGGGCGCTGCTGTGCCGGAGGGCGGGCCGGGCTGTGGAGGCGGTGGGCAGAGCCAGCGGTGCGGAGCCGGGGGTGCGGCGGGGAAGGGGCCCGGGTTGGGGGGCTGGGGGGGGGGGGGGGGTGCGGCCGGGCGGGTCGGCAGTGCGGGTCGTGATGTTCAGTGCCGGGGTTGACGGTGTGGGTGAGGGGCCGAGGGCTCCCTCAGGAAGTTTGCAGGTGACAGCGGGTTCTGTGCCTGCAGGTGGGATGGTTTGACTGAGGGTCGTGGGCGGGCTGAGGTCTACGGCAACGAGTGCCCATTCCTGGGCTGCAGTCACCGCAAGTCCATGCGTTGCTACAGGGCTGGAAGGCTGCACTGAGGGAAAGGATCGGGGGGGAGCCAGCAGTGTGTGCAGGTGGCCAAAAGACCATCAGCATCACAGAATCATAGAATGGCCTGGGTTGAAGGGACCTCAAGGATGATGAATCTCCAAGCCCCTGCCACCTGCAGGGCCACATTTAATACCAGGCCAGGCTGCCCAGGGCCCCATCCTGCCTGGCCTTGAACACCTCCAGGGATGGACGGGGCATCCACAGCCTCCCTGGGCAGCTGTTCCAGCACCTCACCACTCTCTGTAAAGAACTTCCCCCTGACATCCAACCTCAGTGTTCCCTGCCTCAACTTCAAACCACTTCCCCTTGTCCTGCTGTTATCTACCATTTCAAAGAGTCCCTACAAACATCCTGGCTTATATCAGCAGCAGTGCAGCCAGCAGGAGGTGATCATCCCTCTGTGCTGTGGGCAGTGTTGGGTTCCTCACTGCAATACAGGCATGGAGGCCCTGAAGTGTGTGCAGAAAAGGGAATGGAGCAGTGAGGGTTCTGAAGCTCCGTGCTGCACTGAGTGATGCTGATCTGATGGGTCAATCTGGAGAAGTGGCTCAGAGAACTCCTAGCTCTCTATAGGGACCATAAGGGAGGTTGTGGTGAGGTGGGCTCAGCCTCTGCTCTATCTGCTGATAGATAAGAGGTGATGGCCTCGAGTTGCTCCAGGAGGGGTTCAGGTTGGATATTAGGAAAAAATTCTCCAAAGGAGTGGTTGGGCACTGGAACAGGCTGCTCTGGGATGTGTTGGGGTCACTGAAGATGTAGTACTTGGACTTGGTTTAGTGTGCGATGATGGTGGGAGGTGGACAGTTGGGAAGTTTTTCACACAGAGGGTGGTGAGGCACTGGAACAGGTTGCCCAAGGAGGCTGTGGATGCCCCATCCCTGCAGGCATTCAAGGCCAGGCTGGAGGTGGCTCTGGGCAGCCTGGGCTGCTGGTTGGTGACCTGCACACAGCAGAGGGTTGGAACCAGATGAGCACTGTGGTGCTTTTCAACCCAGGCCATTTACTATGACTCTAAGATCTTAGTGGTCTTTTCCAACTTTAATGATTCTATGATTCTATTTCACCCAACTCTGGGGTTTCTGTGCTGTAGTGCAGTGATACTGTGACAGGGGTGACAGATCGGACAGCATCTTTGAGACATCATTTGATGCCACAGGAGAAGGTGGAGCCCTGCTGGTGAGCACCTCATGAGTTTGCAGCTACGGTCTTCTGTGGAGCTTTTAATGGTTTTAAGTTCCTATGAAGCTGCCAAAGATCCATTTTGAAGTAGTAAAGAATACTTTGAACCATTTGTAACACACTGAAGATTGAGAGGATGGTGATGTTCTTGTACCTCTTATCTGAGCACTCGGTGACAAAAGGCATTTTCCTTACTTTACATTTCAGTACTCAACAACGGGCATCTCCCAGTGGTGGTGGGGCTGCTGGCATTCCTGATACAATACTTGAGACAAAGCTGATCAATGGAGACCTATAAGAACCAAAAGATCTTTCAGTGTATAGGGATTGTTAAATGAGCTGTGTGGTGCTGCTTGGTTTTCTCGTAGAATGACTTGGGTTGGAAGGGACTTCAAAGATCATCCAGTTCCAGCCCCTCTGCCAAGGGCAGGGTTACTGCCCACTAAATCAGGTGCCAGCTCAGATGGCCCAGGGCCCCATAGGTGGCCTTGATCACCTGTGGGGCATCCACAGCTCTCTGGGTAGCAGTGCCAGGGCCTCGCTACCCTCTGAGTAAAGAATTTCCCTCTGACATTAGTCTAAGTCTCCCCTGTGTTAGTTTGAAGCCATTCCTCGTCCTATCTCTATGTACCTGTCTTCAGACACATAGTTCAGCTCAGTGTTGTCCTCCCAGGGTTGCTGGGAGCCCGTCCACCCCATGCCTCAGAACATAAGAAAGAGATCAAGTTTTGTTTCTAGTGGAGCCCTGCTTATGTGGAATAAAGGGCAAACAATCACTGTGGGGTGACAAATGTGATAATATGTAAAAAGGAGTTCTAAATACTGTCCTGCACTAAATGTCAGTCTCTTAAAACAAGTTCAGGGTGATTTAGAGGTAACACTTGTAGTAATGTTTTTGCCTGTCACCAGTCTACAGACACTGGTTGGTGCTCGTGCCGTGTGTGCAAGTAAGAGTCTCAGCTGGGAGAGAGGATGGAAATGTAGGCTATGCCTTGCAGCAACAGCGTGGTGCCTTTTTCATCATGAGCCACTTGCTTACGTGTGCAGATTGGAGACTGCTAATTTTATGGGTTATTTTGTTTTTGTCAGAGATTTACAAACAGCCCGAGGTCACAAGCTGATGCATGTTGAATATCTGCATTGGGATACCTTGTTCCTTGTATTTCCTCCTGAGTCTTTGATCTTTATAGTTAGCAACTCCACGTCTCAAAGAATTGATTATGCTTTGTGCTATCCCCTTTTGATTTACTGTTCCATCGTTAGAGTTCTGTAATTCAGCCCAATCTTTTACTCCTGTAAATCATTCTATTTCCCATACTGTGTAATACTTGCCCTCACAAAATCACTCTTGTTCACTAATTCTTCACACATGGCCATCTTTCCATGTGAACACAGTATAGAAAAGATACCAGTCATTCAGTGCAGCGCTCTTCTTCTTGGCTATGTTTATTTTGACTTAATTCAGATTATTTGGAGGAATCTTTGAACTATGCATAGTCCTGGCAAGTGTCACAGCATTTTTAAAGCACTGCAGTGCATTTTGTGTTGAATTTGTTGGCGCATGCTGGGGCAGATGTGACCCTGCTATGTAACATCGTCCCCAAAACGAAATGCTTTTCTTTACCAGTGCTGTGTTTTCTCAGAATGTATTCCTAGCTGAAAAATGTTGTGTTTTGGTTTTTTTTTTGCCTCTGTATAAAAGATGCTTGCAGACAGAAGTGGGAGGCAGCCCTGCATTGTGAAATGACTGGAACAGGTTGTTTCGTGTGCTTGTGAGTCTGCAATGCACTTGTCTGATAAAATTGTCATTTGAATGTACTGCCTTTGCAAACAGAATGAAGAGGTGTACTTATGTCTGAAACTGGAGCAGTATTTCTGTGTACTAGCAGTTATCAGGCACTTGGCATTTTCTGTTGCTTCTTTTGATTAGTTGCTGTTTCATGAGGATGAAGTGTTGTGTTTGTTTTTTTTTTTAGAAAAATATATGTGAAGGTGAAGAGCGTGGGGTTCATCTCTGTGTTAATTTCTTGGCATGGTTACTGAATAAACTCTCTTAATACCTACAGCTTATTTGTTTACCAAGCACTAAGCAAAACTTTTATTTTTATCAGGCAAGAGGCAACAGATGTTACTGCTTTCATCATTTTATGCCCACTTTTCTCCATTGTCATGTGGCACTCTACAGTGACTGAAAGCTTCATTGCAGCCCAGTGCCCATAGATAGCACTGTTGGTTCTGTCAAGTTTGTACGTATTAATCTTTCAGTGTTAACATGCTTTTTTCTCTTTTTTTGGAAGCTTTCCTTAACCTAACACGCTGCAAATGTATGTAGAATGTTATTGTAGGATTGGAGTGCAACAAGGTAAGCACCCAGATGTTTAAATAAAATAATGATCACTCCTCTGCTATAATTAAAAGCTAAAGCAAAGGAAAAGATCATTTCTACCATCCTGCAGTTTCCCAGCCTGGAGCCCCGTTGGGAGAAGAGGCTGCTGAGGCTTTCAGGTTTTGTTCCAGCTTTGTAATTGATGTGTTTTTACCTGGACAGAGACGTGATGCGTGTCCCATTTTCAGCTTCCAAAACAGGACTGATGCTCTCACGCCTGTTTATTTTTCCTTCCTCTGAAATGGAAGCAATATTCCTTCTCAAAGTGAGAGAATCATCATCTAGAGATGATAACTGCGCCTTGGAGAAGCAGGAGGAGGATGGGTCAGCACAGCCACTGGAAGCACTTACTGGAAATGCTGACCCAACCAATCCATAACACACATAAAAGTAACTAATTTTATACAAAATTAGCAACGTTAATTCCAAGGAAGACTTTCTAAATGAATTTCTCAGAGATTAGGATGACGCCACGCAATAGATCTGACTTTTCTGATTTGTTTCTCTGTTGCTTCAGTACCTCGTGAGCCTGCTGTGCTCATGGGATACACCGTGGGTGGTGGTTTGAAATAAATATTCCCTGGTTTTCTGGAAATTAATTTAAAAATTCCAATTGGTGGGTGTTGTGTTTGTGTGGTTTGGGTCCTACATCCACGTTGTTGTGGAACTGGAAGTTAAAAATGAAACTTTGTGTTACGAATGCTTTGTTTTCTATTCTTAGGTCATTTTTACGCAGCTAGAGGTTAAACCAGTGACTCCGTATGGTGTATGTAGGCTGAAGTTGTTTTCTTTTTGTTAGTGCAGTCAGCCTTTCTACACAATTTTCTTCGTTGTTAAAAAGGAAATAAAATGGGGAAATGTTTTCAGATAAGTGATGTGAGCTCTGCAATTAAAAACTACCTATCAGAGCAGCAGGAATCCAATCTCAAGGTGAAACGGGTGCTTTAAGTTGGTACTCTTATTAGTAGTTATTGCAGCTTTTTGATTACCACAGCTT